CTGGTCGGCCTGCGGGCGGCGGCGGAGAGCCGGGCGCCCGGTGCCGTCGGCATGACGGGCCGCGTGTGCCGCGGCTGCGGCGGCACCGACATCGAATTCGACGCGGCGCGCGGCGATGCTGTGTGCACCGGCTGCGGCTCGGTGCTCGAGGACAACATCATTGTATCCGAGGTGCAGTTTGTGGAGAACAGCGGAGGCGGCTCCTCGGCCGTGGGCCAGTTCGTGTCTCTTGACGGTGCGTCCCAGGGCATGGGGGCGGGCGGGCGCCGGGACCCCGCGGAACCCAGCACCGGCCCGCTCGCCCGCTGCTCGGCCCCACACCGCGGATGTGCGCGGGGGATTGTTCAGCGCGGGCCCCTGGCTCCACGAGGGGGAGCAAGGGGCACAGAGGGGCCGGAGGGACAGCGGGGCGGCGGCGATCCTTAGGGGAGGGCTGAGGCTGCAGCACCAGATGGGGGACCAAACTGAGCTGGTGCATAGGCAGGAGAAGTTGTGCAAACACGCGGAGCGCGCGCCGCCGGGGGATGTGACAGCCACTGGAGTAGGGACTGATCCAAGTGCTGGTAGTGCGACGGGCAAGTGTCTGCGAGAAACGGAGGCAAGTGCCGAAAGCCCCAGGAGTTGAGGGAGAGTGCTTCTGGGCAGGGGAATAAGGGGCGCTGCGGTGAGAGGAGGAGCCCTGGTCGTTAAGCTCTCGGCTTGCTATCCGAAGGTTGGCGGTTCGAACCCGTCAGCCGCTCCGCGATTTACAGCTGTGTAAACTCTATGAGCTCTGGTAGCATAGTGCCTAAGGCACTTGACTGCTCACCAGAAGGCTGACGGTTCAAACCCACCAGCCACTCCTCGGAAGGAAGGTTGGGCAATCCTACTTCCGTAGTGATACTGCCTCGGAAACCCAAGGAGGGGTCGCTATGAGTCGGGGCCGACTCGACGGCAAACAACAACAACAACAACAACAAACTCTATGGGACAGTTGTGCTCTGTCCTACAAGGTCGTAGAGTCGAGCGGTTGGGGGTGGCAGGGGACTGCTGCTTTAGGTGATGATAGAACCGGAGAGCCGTTGGGCCCTTTAAACCGTGAGCTCGCATAAGTTTGATCACAAAAATCAAATTAGGAGAAAGGGGAAAGCTGTGGCCCGGGACACAGTGCATATGGGCTCGTCCGCCCACCTTTTTCTTTTTTTTTTAAATTGCTACACAGTAAAATTGACTTTATTGAGGTGCAGAATTCTGTGAATTTTAACACATTTATAGATTCTGGTAACTACCAACTGAGGAGGAGCTCTGGTAGCGTAGTGCCTAAGGCACTTGAATACTAACCAGAAGGCTGGTGGTTTAAACCCACCAGCCACCCCTCGGAAGGAAGGTTGGGCAATCTACTTCCTTGGTGATACTGCCTCAGAAACCCAAGGAGGGGTCGCTATGAGTCGGGTCTGACTCGATGGATATAGCAACAACAGCTGAGGACAAAGAAAACTCCCATCACCCCCATCCTGCACTGTCCCTTTATTGTCGCTTCCTTCCCCAAACTCTGATCTGTTGTCCATCCTTAGAGTTGTCATCCTGGGAATGTCAAATAAATGTGATCAGGCAGCATGGAACCTTTATGGGATCTGCCTGGAAGCCATTGAGATCCACCCAGGTTGCTGTGCTTATCGGCAGTTGATCCTTTTTATTTCTAAGTGGTAACAAGCCTTGTATGAGAGTCCTGGGATGGTGTGAATGGTTAATGGGCTCGGCTGGTAACCTAAAGCTTAGAGGCTGTAATCCACCAGGGGTGCCTCAGAAAATGGCCTGGTAATCTTCTTCCAAAGCATCGACATTGCAAACCCCGTGGAGCACGGTTCTGCCCCGATACACATGGGTTCCCCAGGCGTTGGGACTGACTCCATGGCAACTGTCTTTTTATTTCATGGCGTGGCTGGAGCACAGTTTGTTGGAGGACGTTTTGGATTGTTAACCAGTTTGGGGTGGTTATGAGTAGAGCTGCTGTAAACATTCATGTATAGCTTTTTGTGTGAATATAAATTTTCATTCCTCTAGGGTAGTTACCCAGCAGTGTAAGCAGTGTAATTGCTGGGTGTACGGGAGATGTGTGTGTCTGACTTCATGAGAAACTGTCAGGTTTTTCAGAGAGTTGGGGCATTTTGCATTCTCATCAGTTGCTCTTCATCTTCAACACAACTTGGTATTGTAAGTAATTTTGTTTTAGACATGTTAATGTGCATGTCTCATTTGTCTATGCAAAGAAGTTTGGAAGACAAGTTTCTGACTGGAAGAGATCCATATTTGTTCCCATTCCAAAGAAAGGTGAGCCAATAGAATGTGGGAATTAAATGATGTCATTATTATAACACGCTAGTCAAGTTTTGCTGAAGATAACTCAAAAACGGTTACAGCAGTATATCTACAGGGAACTGCCAGAAATTCAAGCCAGATTCAGAAGAGAAGACAGAATGAGGGCTATCATTGCTGAAGTCAGATGAAGCTTGGCTGAAAGCAGGCAATACCAGAAAGATATTTGACTATGCAAAGACGTTCAGTGGTGTGGATCATGACTAATTAGGGATAACATTTCAAAGAATGGGAATTCCTGAACACTTAATTATGCTTATGAGAAGCCTGTACATAGACCAACAGGCCATCATTCAAACAGAACAAGGGCATATTGTGTGGTTTAAAATCAGGAAGGCTGTGGATCAGGGTTGTATCCTTTCACCTTACTTACTCAGTCTGTATACTGACCATATAATAATCTGAGAAGATGCACTATATGAAGAAGAATGTGCATCAGGTTTGGGGGAAGACTCTTGAACAACCTGTGATATGCAGATAACACAGCCTTCCCTGTTGAAAGTGAAGATGGCAAGAAGCATTTACTGATGCAGATCAAAGACTGCAGCCTTCAGTATGGATTACACCTCAATATAAAGAAAACGAATTGAGGTATTGGTGGGTCGGTGGTAGAAGTCTCACCTTTGTTGTATGTAGGAGACCCAACCAGTGCACCGCACATATGGCCACCACCTGTGTGTCAGTGGAGCATTGCATGTTGCAGGATGCAGAACAGGCTTGCAGAACAGAGCTTCCAGAGTAGCCGACTAGGAAGAAAGACCTGGCCACTGACTTCCAAAATTCAGCCAGTGAGAATCCTGTGGGTCATGACTGTTTGGTGCATGACCAATCATGAAGCTGTGGTAGGACTGGACAGCTTATTGTTCCATTGTCAGCAGCTAACCACTGCCACTGCCTCCACTGCAGCCATCACCACCACCACTATCACCACACTGCTACCACCACCACCACTACTGCTACCACCACCACCACTGCTACCACCACCACCACCACTGCTACCACACCACTACCACCACACTGCTACCACCACCACTGCTACCACCACCACTGCTACCACCACCACCACTGCTACCACCACCACTGCTACCACCACACTGCTACCACCACCACTGCTACCACCACACTGCTACCACACCACTACCACCACCACCACTGTAGCCATCACCACCACCACTACCACCACACTGCTACCACCACCACTGCTACCACCACACCGCTACCACTACTACCACCGCTACCACCACACCGCTACCACCACCACCACTGTAGCCATCACCACCACCACTGCTACCACCACCACCACCACCACACCACTACCACCACCACCACTGCTACCACCACACTGCTACCACTACTACCACCGCTACCACCACACTGCTACCACCACCACCACCGCTACCACCACCACCACCACTACCACCACACCGCTACCACCACCACCACTGCTGCCACTGCTACCACTGCTCTGCCGCCGCCATCACCACCACTGCCATCACCACCACTGCCATCCCTACCACTGCCACCACCACCGCCACCACCCTTTTTGGTGAAATGTTTATTCAGGTCTTTTTTGCCCATTAATAATTTTTTGTTTTCTTACATTTGAATTTTGAGAGTTCTTTAAATACTCTAATTATAAGTTGGATATGTGATTTGCAAATCTGTCTTTTGCAGAACAGAAGGTTTTAATTTTTCTGCAGTCCACTTTATCACTTTTTTTTTAATGCCTTCCATTACTGAGGAACTCTGGTGGTGTAGTGACTAAGGGATTCGTCTCCTAACCAAAAAGTTGGTGATTCAAACCCACCAACCACTCAGTGGAGAAAGATAAGACAGCCTGCTTCTGTAAAGATTTACAGCTTTTGAAACCCTATGAGGCAATTCTACTTTGTACTAAAGAGCTGCAATGAGTTGAAATTAACTCAGCGGCAGTGGGTTTGGTTTTATTTTTTTGGTTTTCCATTACTGAAAATACATGGTATGAACAAAAAAATTCAAAGGAGAAAATGATTTGGTCACCAAAGTGTTAAATATATTAATTTGGAGAGAATTGGCATTTTTAATACAGGTATCCCTTGGAGATATCATGGGGTTGGATGCAGACCACTGCAATAATCGAGAAGAGAATAAATATCACAATAAAGCAAGCCACACGTACTTCTTGGCTTCCTAGTGCATACAAAGTTATGTTTGCACAATACTGTAGTCTGTTAAGGAGCTGTGATGGCACAGAGCCTAAGGCATTTGACTGCTGACCAGAAGGTTGGCGGTTCAAACCCACCAGCCACTCCTCTGAAGGAAGACTGGGCAAGCTACTTCCATAGCGATACTGGCTTGGAAACCCACGGAGGGGTTGCCATGAGTCAGAAGCAACTGGATGGCAGTGAGTTTTTGGTAGTCTATTAAGTGTGCAGTGTTGTTGTTGTTATGTGCCATCGAGTCGGGCCTGACTCATAGCGACCCCTCCTTGTTTCCAGGCGGTGTCCCTAGGGAAGTAGATTGCCCAGCCTTCCTTCCAAGGAGTGGTGTTGTGAACAGGTTTGAGATATTTTGAGAATTATCAACACGTGACATAGAAGGGCAGTGAGCACGTGCTGTTAGAGCAACGGTGCCGACTGAGTTGCTCAGCACAGGGTTGCCACAATCCTTCACTTTGTAAAAAATACAGTATTTGTGAAGCACAATAAAGCAACACAGTAAAACCAAGTGTGGGTCTTTCCGCCTGAGAACACAGTGTGTCTCTCTGTTCATGCAGGCTTTTTTCGAGGTCTTTCATCAGTGACTTGTAGTTTTTGACATCAACTCCCATGCATCATTGTAGGTTTACACCTAATGTGTATTTATTTGGAGCTATTGTAAACAACACTTTAACATTTCAGT